GAAGATTCACGTACGTAGAACAAAAGTTTGATAATCATTATATGAGATATTGCTTATTGAAGATATTTGAGTGTGAATTTTATTTCAATATATTTTTATTTCAATATATAATGTTATATCATATATGTTTTTTTATTATTCCGGTATTCTTTAAACCTTACCTCTCACATGTAAAGCATAGATATTGAATCACGAGTATAACCCTGAGATAAGAGAATTAAATAGTGTGATAGAATCATAATCATATCATTTAAATAAGTTTAATTAATTAGCTAATTATTTGCTTGGCGCACTTAAGACTTTGAATATCACATTAATATATATATATTTATATATATATATATATATATATATATATATATATATATATATATATATATATATTATATATTATATATATATACATATATATATATATATATATATATATATATATATATGTATGTATATATATATATATGTATATATATATATATATATAATATATATATATATATATATATATATATATAAAGTTATCATATTTGTTTTGTAAGTCTTCTATTTCGTGGCATTTTCCAGCGAAATAAGTCGCTTTAGCTTCTCTTATTTTTCGTCTTATTTGATGATGCAGCTGTTGATACTGAGTTGTGTAGATATTATTTTGCCTTCTTCTGTTCTCCATCATTTCCAAATTTCTTCTGTCATCCAATCTCCTTTCTTATATCTGGTTGTTGTGAGTGCTCTGTGACTTGGTTCGATAATTGCATTTTTAAAGAATTGCCACTGTTGTTCTACATCATTATCAACTGATTCAGGTGTGGATTCTAGGTTTGCATTAATTTCTTGTTTGAGTTTTTCTTTGCCGTCTTCTGATTTTAATTTTTGTATGTTTAGTTTATCACTTTTGTAGCTTTTTTGTATCTTTTTTAAATGAAGTTGGAATTTTGCTACAACAGGATTGTGGTCCAACGCCACGTCTGCACCTGGGTACGCTTTCACCGATTGTATTGCGTTTTGGTATCTGTGGTTTATTAAAATATAGTCAGTTTGGTTTCTTACGATTTTATCGACCTTGTCAGCTGGCGATTTCCAAGTGTAAAGGCGTCGTTAAGGCAGTTTGAAGAAGTATTTATTACCTCAAGATTATGTTCTAGGCAGAATTTAAGGTATTCTCCTCTCTCATTTCGAACACCGAGTCCATAGGGTCCCACAGTAGACTCACATCTTCCTTCTCTAACTTTGATGTTAAAAATCCCCATGACTACTGTTATATCTCTAGATGTTGTATTTTGTAGGGTTTTTTGAAGGTCATCGTAAAAATTTTTAATTTCTTTCACCGTTTTATCGGCGGTTGGCACATAAATCTGAATAAGATTTAATTTCCAATGTGTTGTCATCATTTGTATTAGCATAATTCTTTCCGATATTGGTATAAAGTCTACAACAGATTTTTCAGCTTGACATTAATTGCTACTCCATTCCGATGTTGGCTGTCGGTACTACTAGAGTAGAAAAGTCGACCATTGGTTGTAGGTACTTAGTTCGCCAGAGTCGAGCTATCTTGTGTCACTTATTCCCAATATGTCGATCTTAAGTCGCATCATTTCTTGTTCTATGTTACTTAGTTTACCAGGCTCATACATGCTTCTAACATTCCATGTCGCTATTTTAAAAGTTAAATTTTGTATTTTTAGTACGCAGGGATTTCGTTGGTTAACGACCTGAGGAGCCCTGTCATCATTGTTATTTCTCCCCCTGCCGAATCTTGGCATCTTATAACCATGATTAGTACGGTGATGGTTGTCACTTACTGCCATGACGATTTCTAGGGGTTCTCTAAAAGTCTTTAATGCAGTGGTTCCCCGTTGCCTTTTGCATCCTTATGCCGTTAACCATTCCTTGGTTCATCCGCCCTCGAGATATATTTCTCTATCTCAGGACAAAACAGTGCCCCCTTACGTCTACCAGCTCCTTCGCCCGCAACCGTTGGCCAGTATTTGACTTGATTCTATATCAACCCTTAAATCGATTGTTGCCACTTACGCCATCCGCACCGTACCGAAGTTTTGCTTCTCCGTCGTGGCTGCCGTTGTGGACTTCATCCGTAACCCTGGACAAGGGACCCTAAACAGGTACTAGTTTCCCGAGTCAGGAAACCCCCGGAATCTGCGGAGGAAAGGGATTGATTCATTTTCCCTGATACGACTATCTTCAAGAATTTAAAGAGTTCCTACCCGCTACCCACATTTTACGACATGATAAGGCTTATTTAAAATAAGATATAAAATAAGATTTATAAATAAATTTATAAATCTAATATCATTCCAGTTTCACAATCACAGCACAAACATTTTTACTCCAAATCTTTTCAAACTGATATATTGTCTAAAATGAATTCTGCCTTTGAACAATAATATCGAATCATCTGTTACTAATTTTTGAAAAGGGTAAAAATAGGTTTAAAGTTTGGTTGTTTTATTTTTATACAAATAACACAAATCTTATTTTTCATAGTTTGTAATTTTCTGCTGGATTGACATTGTCGACGAAGTGTAAATATCGAAGTTGTTGAATAAAACGATCTCTGGTCATATATTTAAAAAACATTGTTTTTATCAATTCATCTTTTGGCCAGTATTCCTTTATCGTGCGTTCGCTTAAGTGAAAACATAAACAATTACTCCAAACAATGAAGCAGTCAAAAGCCAAAACCTACCAAATGTCTGCAGTTTAATGTATCTCATTCTAACTTGTTGCATTTTGCTGAATGTTCGATTCATAAGAGTGTCAGGAAATTTTGTGAATAAAAATTGATAATATGGAAATGAAAATTGTATTATTGAACAGGGAAATGCATTTTCCAAAATTGTAATTTTGAATTAATTGAGGAAATGAAATGAAAATGAATTCAATATTATTACTCGTGGAATTTGGAGTCATTGAATACGAATATCATGACGGCGATTTGCTCCGAGACATATGGTGCACCTGAGCCTCCTCTCCTGGAGTTTTGTGGAAATTCGATACAAAATCGGTGCAACCTCGTTACTCTGTAGCTTTTATGGTTGCTGAACACTAATATCGTGTCGGCGATGGTGTTCGAGGCACCTGGTGCCCTGTACTAGCCTGGTCTCCTAGAGTTTTGTGGAAATTAGATACACAATCAGTTTCCAATGCACAATCTCCAGAAAATGAACCCCGTCCTGGGTACATGATATTAGTGTTCAGCGACCCTAAAAACCCCTGAGTAACCAGTTTGAACTGATTTTGAATCGAATTTCCATATAACTCCAGGAGACGATGGACAGGTGCACCAGGGATTATCGCCTACATTACATTCATATTCACTCGCCCCAAAACCCCCCGAGTAGTAATATTGAACTCATTTCCGTCAATTATTTTAAAATTACAATTTATCATTTTTCATCACTTCGAAATGCACTTTAGAAAATGCATTTTCTCTGATCAATAATGCAGTTTTAATTTCCACATCATCATTTTTATTCACAAAGTTTCCTCAGGCTCTAATTAATCATATGCAATAAGTCTCATTTCCATCCATAAAACTGTAAAAATTTGGTAGGTTTATTACTTATTGCTGATTGGGTGTAAATGTTAAAGCGCTTATTGATGATAGTCGCCCTTAAAGAGTTCTCGTAAAATGAGCCCTCTAATACTAATGATTAGGCGACAAATACATCCCAAGCTTCTTTATCTCGACAACCCACTAACCGAATACGTTTCTTGAGAACCTTTATTCAAAAATGTACAAATTTTGAAATTGATATGTGTAAAACTTGCGAAGTTATTTTATTTATTTATAATTCTGAAGAGTGCAAACGAATTTCTGAACAATATCAGAACAGGTTGCGCGTGCATCCAACACACAGTGTCTACAGTAGAAGAAGCTACGCCTTCAACAGCGCTCATTTATTGTGATCTGTGCCACTTCTATATAGTATTAATGTTCGCGTATCTGTGTATGTGCGGCTTTTCTGTTTGGATCGTTGTACATATCTTAAGTGTCATTAAGTTGGTATTTTTTGTTTTTGGACTGTTCCTTAGCTTCATCCGGAATTCAGCTGATAAAATCTGATGGTCACTATTTCTATCTTTTCCTGGATAAGTCTTAATGTTAAAATCCTGTATTAATAACAAAGAGATTGTTGTCTATGCAGTGTAGCAAGTTCTCTTCTGTCATTTCTTTCGCCAATCCATATAATTCGGCGTTCTTCACCAAGTAATGATCTTCTGTAGTTGTACCAATTTTAGCATTGAAATCGCCTATGATTGCTTTGATTTCCCTATTTATAAGCTTCCTGAGCATCTTTTTCAATTGACTATGAAGTATTTCAATTTCTTCGTCCTGAGCTTGGCTTGTTGGGACATATACTTGTATTACATTAAGATTAACTGTTCTGACATTCAGTCTTACAACAATTATCCGATCACCAACGGCTGTGTGTTCATATACAGAGCTTTTAATGACATAATTTACTATCACTGCCACGACATTCCGAGATTCTTTACCATTACCAGAGAAATAAACATCATTGCAATATTTTGATATAAAATGTCCTTTATCTATCGCTTGGGTTTCAGATATACCTACAATGGCATAACGTTTTATCTCGTTTTCCATTACATCCAATTTTCCGGTTTCCAGCAATCCAGAAACATTCCACGTACTAATTTTAAGGGTGCTCTAGGTTTTTACTCTTATTCCAAACCCAGAATTTTCATGGTGTGTCTGGTTTGTCACAACATCATGCCTCGTAGCCCATTTCCCACCATTATCCGCGGAGGAAGATTGGCGCCAATTGCTAATTGGATCGCTCGGAATACTGATATTTTTGGAGATCATCTTTCAGTTTTTGGGACAAAATAACGCATTGGGAGCTAAATTATCGCATCATATATTTAATAGATATATGTAATATATCAAAATTTAATTTTTTTGTTTATTTATTTTTGTATGTTTATAAAATTTATATATTTTTAAATAATTTTTTTTCTAGTTTTAAACAACAGTAGAATAGTACCAAATATGGATTTCCCAAAAAACATTGATCAAATCCTTCTGGAACAATTGATTTACGAGCAAATGGGTGGTTTTTTACTAATTGTTTTGGCCAACGGAAAAATTGTTTTTGTTTCAAGTACAGTTGAAAATCTTCTTGGACACTTACAGGTAATGCACATACATATGTTCCTTATTGTTACTTTTTATATCGTTCTTATATCTGTATAGTTTAATAATCATCACACTGTTAGAGCATTGGAAACAGCAGAAAAGAGTAACATAGAAACAATGTTTTATATACTCGGTTCGCTGATCTTGGGAATATGTTGACTGTAATTTTACAACACAGAAATTTCTACTACACCTTAATAATAGCTGAAATAATTTTACTATTGCCGACTTCTTTATTTAAAAAAAAAAACAAGAATAATGGAGGTGTATATTTATTAGCGTTGATTAAAAACTTTTTATTTCTAAATACTAGATATTTTTGAAATGGAATGAAACCACAATTAATTTTAATTAAAATTATATAATATTTGACGTTTAATTTCAAATCTGGAAATCATTTTCAAAAAAAATCTAAAAAAAAATTGTGAATATAATAACATATAAGTGTTTATGATTGTGAAACCTCAATACTCCGGGAGTATTGGATTTTAGTAAGTGTAAGACTTCCAAATTCCAGAAGAACTGGAAGATAGGTGATGAAAATACTAAAAATATGGCTAAGCTCAGAGGAACAAAGTTAAATGGCCAAAGAGACACTAAATCTCAAGTGAGTGTTCGGGCTAGCTTCAATGCACTGGATTGTGGCTTTGAAGATATAAACAGATAGCAAGGATACTGAGCTAATGAGACAAGAAACGAAATCAGACCTGGTAATATCAAACGTGATACAACTAAAGAAGGTCACTGGGAATAAATTTATAGAAAGAGAACAATAAGAAGAGAAAAAGAAGGGCGCCAACTCAACGATAGTTGAGATTTTGAAGTAACAAATGACCGGAAACAAATAATTCTGGAGATAATAACCTGAAATACAAAATACTAAATACTAATCTTGTTTTGCTATATTATATACTGGTTAGTAGAACTGAAATAAAACTCAAAATAGTAACAATAAATATATTTATAAAAATGTGTATATCGATATATATATATATATATATATATATATATATATATATATATATATATATATATATATATATGTGTGTAAAATGTGTATATCGATATATATATATATATATATATATATATATATATATATATATATATATATATATATATATATATGTATGTATTAACACTTTACATATAATGCAAAAACTAAATAACAGTGGTAGTGGGTGTGTAAAGATACAATAGGACCAAATAGCCCCTCAACAAGCGAATAGTCACTACCACTGGCCAAGTAAAGTGTGAAATGTTAGTAAACAACAAGAATCGTCCCTATGGTAGCCAAAGTTTTAACACAAAAAGGTAGTAATTTAAATTTAACTAGTTCAACTAAAATGAGATACAAATTACAATATTGTAAAGATATAAAACTTGATAAATCTATTACAATTATATTATATTACATCCAAAAAGTGAGTCTTCAATACTCTTTATATAATGTTTAAAAAACCACATGAAATTTATTTCCCTCTCCAATTAAAATTAAAAAAAATATATTAAATCAACAAGTGAGTTCGGTCAGACTCTGTATATCCTATTTAAAAACCTAATAAAAACATGTAATGTATTTTCTTCTCTCCCAATAATATCAAAATTATATTTTATCATAATGTAGTCACTTGATCATATGCATATGAAAAGTTAACAAAATAGACAGTAACAAAAAAAAATTACACAGTCAAACAACTTACCTTTACAGCACTATAAGTCCATAGGAAAAACTCCTCTTGGCACGGCTAAATCAGTTTGTTGCTGTAAAGGACAAATCCCAGGTGAGTCTGGGTATAAAACCAGTCACTGGTCTATCTGGAGTGACGGCAAAATCCAGGAGAGTTGCTAACCATTTAAGAAATTTTGTTACTAGTCCTTGAGGGAATATTCTTAAGAGAATATCCTCAAGTGAAGTGACGGAATCTAAAAGAGTTATGTAATTTAATAAATGCAATTCAATAGCTGTAGCAGCGTGGATTGACTACACCAAAACAAAACATCAAAACATTAGGTATTAGGTTATGTCAACATGTCAGAATTTCCGAAGTTACTTCGTAGACATGACAGGCTTGCGCCATGAAATGAACGTGCGCAGAATACAGAAGGCTGTACCACATTTGTAGAACCTTTTATATTCCACCAAAAAAAGTTAGATAAAAAGGGAACCAAAAAAAACTTAATGATAACGACATGGACTAAAACAGAATTTAAGTTTAACTATATAAAAAATGACCTTCTGTTCGTTGCAAGTAAATCAAGGAAATTTTATATTTAAATTATTTCGGAACTCAAAAATAAATCTCTAAAGAAATACTAAACTGCAAGGATAAATTTGATTGTATGATAAAGAGATAATACGTATGAAATGATTTACTTACATGGAGCCGCAGCACGCCAAAAAAAATCTTCCTTTTTATGTGGAACTCTTATAAATTACTCTTGATTTTAAAAAAATAATTATTACTATTATTATTATTTTATTCTTCCTCCAGATTATCTTCCTTGCTCCAATTCCGTCACTTTGAAGGTGAAAAAATTTCACCGGTTGGCGTGTCTGCCTAGTGAGCCTCTTGACCAAAAACTGCTTTTCTACCGCACAAAATCGATCAATCCTTTCAAAGCGCTCCCAGCGCGTGAGTGGAGAAATGTCGATTTAAAAATCGATCGCTGGCGGAACACAAGAAATTTCTTGAGGGGTTAATCAGTAGCGTAAACGCTACAATTGGTAGTAGGAGATAATGCCAGTTTGACAGTTACTTACTTTAATTTTAAGTTTTATAGGCATCACCCTTGTTTACACTTTTAGAACTGAAAATTCTGAAAGGCGTTGCTGTAACCTCGGATTAATATCAAATTCTGATTTCTCTGTGTTTTTATAGGTTATGGGTCTCAGACCTGCTGTTAACTGATTAGTGTTTGTATATTCTTACTGATAACTTGTGGTGTTAGTATTGGTAACCAGATATTCCTGCATACATTGATGTTTTTGCTATAAAATTTGCTTCGTTTAGTAGGATGAGGTCGGCTTCCTTGATTTTTCTATTTTTACTATATGTTCCTTTCATAACTAAGGATTCATCTTTACATTGCCTTTGCTTTTATTGTAATATTCATGCTCATTTATCCTAGCACTTCGTGGTATTAACGTTTGTGTCAGATAAAAGTTGTTTCATTCGCAGGGTATTCTATAAATGCAGGTCTTTGATCATGTATGTTATTCTGTTTGTTTTTGGATAGAATATTCTTAGTGTATAGGTTGTTAGCAAGCAGGAATTGATGACAGATAAAATACTGCAAATTAAAGATTAAAAGATTAAAGAAGTACAAAACACCAGAAAACAACACAATACAGGCATAGTTGTAGACATCGAAGGCTTTGAATTGTAGATTTTGACTACAATTGAAGATAAATTAAGAGCATGGAAAGAATAGATGCAAGAATTATTCGAAGATACAGCAAGAGGACTAACTGAAATAGACAATCCTTACATCCAGAAATAACAAATAATGAAGAAGTAAATATAGCCATTAAGCGAATTAAAGATGTAAAATCACCGGTATACTGACAAAAGGACGCGGAAAAAAGGACGCGCGAAAAAAGGACGCGTGGAAAAAAGGACGCATATTATTAACGAAATACTATAAATAGTTTATTTTAATTGACAATAGCAATTACCCCCGTTTATCCTCTATATATAATTACAGAAAATGATTCTACCTAACCTAAAATCGGTTACGGTAAAAGTAAAAAGTGAAAAATATTTATATGAAAAAAACTTGCCTTCACACTTTATCCAGGCTTAGAACTGGCAGCAGAAGCTGGCGTGTTTACAAGTTTTTTTTATTTTTTTTTTAATTTTTTGCTTTTTTGGAATTTTTTTGTCATTTTATTTTTGTTTGTTTTATTTTTGATATTAATTTTTTTTGTATTTTTTTTTATGTTTGCAACTGAAAATTGTGAGCAATGCCTCTCAAATATTCTAAAGTGGACCTGTCAGCATAATCGACAACAATAGCCCTTATCCTGTTTGCTGTATCTTGATATTTTCTTTTGCGTGGAGGTACATTGCCCGAAATGTACTGCTCTATTTTCAAAACATTTAAATCATATTCTTTTTTTAGAGAATTAATAAATTTCCAAATATTCGGATGTGCACTATTGAGAAGAGAAGAAAAGCTGTTGTGCCATCCTTCGACAGCATTATTAGTTCGAGGTATATCTTGGTCTGCCAAATCGTAACAATTCCATACATTTGCTGGAAAAAGGGGTTGTCTTCGATTTCCTCTTCTAGCTAATCTCCCTATCCAAGTGTCTTCAAAGTAATTAATCAGCGGCACTAGTAGTTCTTCATTTTGTGTATAAAAATCGCTATTGAACAACTCCTCGTACACTCTGACTACATGGTTGTCTGGAACAAACGCAAGAGCTGCCAATTGCCTTAGGTGAAGGGCGAAGTCAGGATTCTCAATATATCTACGTTGCAATCCGGCACTTTGAATATGGCGCCACATACACTGCGAGAAATGAAAAAAACATCCGCGGATTCTCACATTTGGGAACTCAGTTTGTGCAGCATTCATTGCCGCTCTTTCAAAGTCCATCATTATTGTTAGAGGGCGCAAGGCCGGATTCAACACCTTTAGTTGCTGAAAAACACGTGTATAAGTCTCTTGTGTTTTGTTCGTTAGAAGTGTATCGCACTCCATGAATTGTGTATATTAGAGAAAACAATGGTGGTGCTGAGTTAAATGTTCCATCGGTATACCAATGATCGCATTGTTCCATAAATCTTAAATTTCTTTGTGTTGAAAATAACAAAATACGTTCTTCTTCTGGCCCGCTATCAAATAATAGAAATAGCTCACCGCCTGTAGTTGTTTTATATTCTTAAGGAAGCACAAGTTCTTCTAAATTTCTCGGATTTGCGGGCGTACCTCCTAGCTCGTTCCGAATTCTTTGCACAGTTTTTTTTTAACGACGACACTGATGGAAG